TTGTTGAAATAATTTCTTCTAGTCTTTGTGTAGGTAAAGTCATTAATATTTTTCATTCTGACCTGTGACTTCTGTATGTGGCACATGGTGTGAAGTTAAGGTCGTTTTAACTTTTCTTTTCTTTTTCTTTTTTTTTTAAAGAGTTACAAGTCATTTTCTTTTTCTTTTTTTTTTTTTTTAAAGATTTATTTATTTATTTATACAAGCACTGGGTACAGTCAGAAGCGCGGGAGGGTGAGAGAATTCACCAGAGCCAGAGCGGGGGAGCAGAGCAGGCAGAAGGACCGAAGTACACTGCTGAGGGGAGCAGCGGGCTGCAGGAGAGGTCTGCGCACCATGCGGGACCCTCCTCTTGTGGCCGGGGAGCAGCCGGGGATCGAACCAGTGCTGCAGAGGCTGCGGGCAGCTTCGCAACCCAGCGCTCAACCGCTGCGCCACCGGGGAGGCCCATAACTTTTCTTTATGTATGCCAAATTGTCCAACATCCTCTAGTGAAAGGCCATCCTGACACTTTGCTCTATGTGCCAACTTTGTCAGAATCAAGTTATAAGCACTGAAATCACTCTGCATCTTATTTTATAAACATGCTATATGTTAAGTTATAACCATCTAAAGGATGAAACTTCTCTTTAACTATATGCAATATTCAGCACACAAATCTATGCAAAGTATTTTAGGAAGTATAATTTGATGGAGAAATTTGCTAAATTAGTATGAGATTGTCTCTCCTTCTTTTACATGCTCAGTCTCTAAGCTTGATTTTGATTTAACTTGGAGTGAAGCTAAATTCCTAATAATTTGGAACTCTAGGCAAATTCCTTCCCTAGAGTTTAAACCAAATGACTACAGTTCAACTTATAGGTCACAAAGGGTTTGATGAAAATATCTAAAGATCATCTGATGTAGGAAATTTACAAAGGAATTTTGAAAATAATTTTAATATTTATTAAGTACCTACTGTACTTAATAAATAATAAATAATACCCTGGATCTTACTTTGTGTCAGTTTAATTTTTAATGTACATAACTGTTTATTTTTATTTCTTTTTTATTTTATACATTTTTTACATCATTTTTCATTTTTGTACAATGTGTGCAGTTTCATCTTGGTTATAGTCCCCATAAAATTCCCACCACCCTTGTTTTGATCTATTCCTTTCCCTCCAGCCCCCCAGTGTGTCTCTGATTTATAGTTGCCTGTTGGTTTTGATTTTTACTTTATTATAATTAGTTTTTTTTCTGGTCCCTTATTTTTATTTCAAAGCAGTCCAGTAAGTTAGACCAGTTAACTTATCCAGACCAGTAAGTTTCCCAGGTAGTAAACGATAAAGTGAGGGCTTGAACTCTATTCCCTCTGAAACCAGAGATTATACTCTTGAACAGTTATTTCAGTGTATCTGGACTGATTGAGAAAAGACTAGAAGAAGTTACATTAAGTTCTTTCAAATGCTTGATATGTTACCAATAGTAAAGAAAATCGAATATTGTGATACTCTATGAGTTGACAATCAACTGGTAAGGCATTAAATTTTGTCTCTATGCTAGGTACAGAAATCATACTAGGGCCTCCCCTGTGGCACATCGGGTTGAGCTCATGTAAATGAGAAATAATGGAGTCTCAATTATTCTGTTTGATTATACAATTAAAAAAGTTATTAATTGTAAATGTTTAAAAAACAGTTATGTTTAAAAATATGTACAAATTCAAACCCTCATTATTATTACTGTATTTGTAAAGCTGTAAAGTTCATTTTAATTAATGTCATGATCACCTATAGGAATTATATAAAGTAGCATTCTTATTCAAAATGAGTATAAAAACAACAAATACCAGATTTACTCTAACCCTTATGTCCACAACCCTTATGGCAAATGTGGCATTAATAAACATTTAGTTGTTCGGGCATTTCTGAAGTTGGTAATACTGTATCATTTTTCTAGTAGTAGCAATCTGTACATTTATCCATCTTGGTTATTCTATTGTCAGTTGCAACTTTATAGGATATTGATAGGATTAAGATAGAATACACTGCTGTAACAAAGAACTCCCAAATCTAAGAATTTTTATAAAATGTAGTACTTACACAGTGTCCATTGTTAAGTTCGAATTATCTGTATGACTGTTCTACCCTCTTCAGTAAATAAGCAGCATTGGCTGCTTATTTTTGGTCTTATTATTTAAAAGTATGGCTACGGCCTCTCCGGTGGCACAGCGGTTGAGCTCTGGGTTGCGAAGCTGCCCGCAGCCTCTGCAGCGCCGGTTCGATCACCAGCCGCTGGGCGAGGGTCCCACATGGCGTGCAGACCTCTCCTGCCTCCCGCTGCTCCCCTCAGCAGTGTACTTCGGTCCTTCTGCCTCTTCTGTTCCCTGCTCTGGCTCTGGTGAATTCTCTCACCCTCCTGCGCTTCTGACTACCCAATGCTTGTATAAATAAATAAATAAATCTTTTAAAAAAATAAATAAAAGTATGGCTATAATAAGTAGAGTGATAGACATCCATCAACTACACTTACATATGTAAGTCAATAATTAATGCCAAAGCATAATAATAAAGACCATTTTTAAAAAAGAACAAAACATGTATTCCATATTAAATTGCTATAAATATGGTCAAAATCTGAGATTTTGACTCTTCAAATAAGGCAATCAAATTCTCATCTAAATCCTGTGTATCACATCTGAATCCTATTTGTACAGTGAACATTAAAGGTTATTAAAGGAACATTAAAGGAAATGCTAGTTTTTTAGCAATTAAACTGTGTGCATTAAGAAGAAAATGGACCACACATTAGCAGCTGTAAGTGCTATCAATGAAATATATTCCTTAATTCTTAGGAAAAACTCTTTAGGGTTACATTCATGGAATTGTAATTATCCTAAATAATAATAATATCCATGAAAGTCAAGATTATTAACTAACTATATGTATGATGGTTACATAACAAATTTAATTATTTCATAAGGCAAAGTTCAGTTAAACAGCAATTCAGTATTTTATTTCACACAGTTTTAGTTAGGTAATGATATAGGTGCAATTTAAGTACACTCTATATTTAATGCAAAAGAGACAAGTTATATATACTTTAGGATACCAAAAGGGAATATGCCATTATATGTGACAATGATTAAATAAATTATTTTTATAAAGTATCATTTTAGCAGAGCAAAACCTAACAGAGAGGAAAATCAGTGACATGCAGTCAGCAATTTCTCTCTGGAAATTAGATCTCATGTGTTCCAGAATATAGAATTTTCCTGATTTAGTTAGTGTGTTACAGTATAGAACTCTAGAACCAAATACTTTTAAACTTCTTCAACAAAAATAAGCATATTCAATTATCATTGTCAGACATAAGGAATACAAGTTGCCTCATCTCTATGCAGAAAAAGCTTTTCACCATGAGTTAAGGTCACGTGAGATTTGTTTGCCAACAAATCAGTTAAAAAGTTAAACAAAAATCTTCTAATTGTTTTCAGATTTTTGAGTAATGGATTAAAATTGTAGATGTGTATTAATCTGTAACTTATTATATACATAAATAAATGTGTACGTATACATGATTAATTCATGTATTCGGTGAGTGAGTTGGGTTGTCCTTGGCAGTTGTCAGCATCATCTTGTAAATTGAAGACTTCTGCTCAACTTCAGAATGGAATCTGGGAACTACATTTCCCAGAACGCCCTCCTACTGACACTGAGAAACTCATGAAAGCTTTGGAAGTTGGAATAGAAAAAGGTGATTGTAGACAATCGAGTGAACGAATGAATGAGAGAAAAAGTTCAAAGTGGCTTTTTTAATCCACTGAGAATCATGTTTTTTTTTTTTTTTTTTTTTTGTGCTGCTGCTTGCTGAGATAATCTAAGGTTTCTCCTAAATTTTTTCCTAGAATCTCAAAAGAATATATGTAATTTCTGGAAACCAACCCCCACCTTTGAGATCTTTGGTGTGGCTTAATTACAAGCCTACTTAAAATTCTTAAAACCAAAGTATTTAGAGTAATTTTGTTATATATTTGTTTTTAGTAAATCAAGACATTCACATGCACTCAGTGAAGAGGAACCAGTTTCAGATGGTTTGAATGTATTGTAAAATGTGTTTAAAATGTTTTTGAAATTATTTAAAAGCCAATGGAATATGTAATACATACGTCAAAGTCTCATTTAAAAAAAAAAATTAAAACTTAGTCTCTGCTCATTGCTAACCTGAACAGTGCTGGGAGACACAAAACAGAGAAAGAGGGGGAAAAGATAGGGTTTCCATGGAAACCTGGCCTTGGGTCCACAAGACAATTAGGGGGCTATGAAGAATTCCAGGAAATACAGAAGCAGGGCAAACAGAACCTAGTAGGACACATGTGGTGAGTAAGGTCAACTGAAACCTGAAGTCCCAGCAGATGACAACATGCAGGGATAGACTCCTCAGATATGGAAAGCAGCCCCCCCAGAACTGGTTGTGAAAGAGAACCCTAAATCCTTCTTCATGTGCAGACCTCTCCTGTCTGGCGTGCTGCTTCTCTTATCAGTGTATTTCAATAAATTTGCCTTTTCTGTTTCCCTCCTGTCTCTGGAGAATTCTTTCACCCCTGTGCCTGTGACCTCACCCCAATCTGTCTCCTGACTACAATGTAATGAAATATACCAATAATAAATTCTAATGTTCTAATAGCTAACTTTATCTGGCCCATTTTAACAAGGCTGTTTTCATTGAGCATCATTGAATACAATGACCTTTACTGTAGACCCATGCCTGCCTTCTAAAAATAAATCTAACATGTTGTGGCCTTTCAAACAAATTGCTAGTATTACAAGTATTCTTCTTTCCCCAAACATTTATCATCATCATCATCATCATCATCATTATTATTACCATTACTATTTAGTAACTAGTCCATCTTACTTATGTTGATTTTTACACCTCACTCCTTGATGAATACTAGATCAAAAATGTTTGGTGTTGTTTTTAGGTTCCATAAGATTAATTTACTCATTCTGTAACAGGGTGGTCCCCAGGAAATGGGGAGGTTCCAGATTTCCAGCACCACCCAAGGGAGGGTTTAGCTGAGCAGGGAGAGAAGAAGCTGCAGAGGAGACTGAGGAAGGAAGGAAGCAGGATGGAGAGCCAGAAGACCTGGATGAACTATATTTTTTGCCTTTTCTGTATTGTTTCCTAATTGTATTAAAGTTCCTTCCCATTACAGTCTCATTTGTTTTGTATTGATGTTGCTGATGGCAGAACCCATTTAGAGCAGGCAGGTTTGTGGGGTCTGGGCTGCCCCTCTCCCTGGCCTGTAACAATTCCAAGAGGGTTAGTGAATGTTGTGATTTTATTAAATATATGAAAGTTTGAACACATAAATTCTTTTAATTTCTCCTGTGATTTTTTTTGAGTTAAGACATTTATATAAAGCATAACCTGCATTCTCTACCCACTTTTGTCATTTGAAGGGACATTTATGCAATTGTATTTCTTTTTTTCCAAAATCAGTGTTTGTAAAATGGAATGCTGTTATTCTGAGTTAAATGCTTCCAAAAGGCTCCATGTTATTTGCTGCTAATTTCAAGATTTATGTTACTAAATATATACTGACTAATAAACCAATTCTCAAATGATAACTTGACAGATTATTTGGCATGGGGACTGTTCACAGCTGCATACAAGATGCCACTAAATGCAAAATGGCATCAGGGCTTATATTTGGCTTATTGTTTACCCCCGCCTCTCAAAAAAAAAAAGAAATCTGTTCAATTAATTTAGGCGATAACATGAACAGAAGAATGAACTATAGCTGAATGAGGACGTTAAATGGGAAAGAAAAGTTGTCTATGCAAACGTATTGAGGAGACTGATAATAGCTGGCTGCCCATGGATTCATCCCACAGCAGTGCAACTGTAACCTAAGCACCTGAGAAAGATGGGTAGAAAATCTTATCAAGGGGTAAATGTCAATTTCAAACAAATGAACTCTATCTCATGTAATTATCAAACCTTGTTGATAAAGTATACTTAATATGTATATAATCAGAATTTATTATTTTTTTAGATTTTATTTTTATTTATTTATGCATAAAAGAACTGGGGTGTAATCCAGAGATAGGGGGGTGAGAGGACTCACCATAGACAGAGTGGGGAGCAGAACAGGTGGATTGATTGAAGTACACTGCTGAGGGGAGCAACAGATGAAACAGGAGAGGTCTGCTGTGCCATGTGGGTAGCTCCTTGGCCTGGTGGGGATATAACTTGTGCTGCAAAGGCTATCAATAGCTTCATAGTGCTGAGAATTAATCCCTTGCACCACCAGGGAGGCCCATAATCTGACTTTATGTTTAAAGATTTTTTTTTTCATTTACTGACAATTTATTTTCTTGCATCATTTTTGTATTCTTTAACTCATCTGTAAATTTCAATATGACCTTTGAAAAATTATGAGTCTAGTTGTAAAAGTATTATTATTATTATTATTTAGTTTTTATATGAGGTTAGGGAATAAACTACAACATAAATTTCAATAATATTTTAGTGGAGCTGAAAGCTGGTTAAAACTAATACTTTTTGAAAAAAAAAAAAAAAACTAATACTTTTTGAAATAAACACTAAACATGCAACCAAGTAATAAATGTCTGTCAACTTTGAATGATGACCAAGCAACAAGATGACATTTGTAACTTAAGTCTTTAAAGCATCTCACTATCTATTGCATTCTAGTAACTATTCTAAAATAAGTCAATAATTTTTGAACATCATGACATTGAAAATTTTGACCAGCTAGTATCATTACCAATTTAAATAATACATAATTGTTACGTTAGTAAATTATATCTCATACTCCAACTTATTTTCAGATGAGCTGATCTTTTGTTTGGAGATATTTTGAGGTTAAATAGTAGAAAACAAAATAAGGCCTGTTAATATAAACTCTCCTTTTTTTTATCCAAGGGTTAGGTTTATTATAAAAAGGAGGGACATGGGACCTTCTTGTTGGCACAAGGGGTTACGATTCAACCTATGAAGCAATCCACAGCCTCTGCAGCACGAGTTCGATCCCCGGCCAGGAAGCTACCCACATGGTGCAGCAGACCTCTCTTGCCTGGCCTGATGCTCCCCTCAGCAGTGTATTTCAGTCAGTCTGCCTGTTCTGTTCCCCATTCGGTCTATGTTGAATCCTCTCACCCCCCACACCTCTGGCCTGTACCCCAGTTCTTGTGTGCATAAATAAAAAGGAGGGACAGGTAAAGATGCTCGCACAGATACAAGCGGCAGAAAGAGCTGCCCCCCCAAAAAGAGACGGTTTGCCAAGAGATGCCTGCAAGGTCACGTGGGCAGCCTTTGGAGGAAGCTGCCTCTGCTGCCTTGAAAATGGAGAATAGGGGCCTCCCCGGTGGCGCAGCGGTTGAGCGCTGTGTTGCGAAGCTGCCAGCAGCTTCTGCAGCGCCAGTTCAATCCCCGGCTGCTCCCCGGCCACTGGAGGAGGGTCCCACATGGCGCGCAGACCTCTCCTGCCGCCCGCTGCTCCCCTCAGCAGTGTACTTCGGTCCTTCTGCCTGCTCTGCTCCCCGCTCTGGCTCTGGTGAATTCTCTCACCCTCCCGCGCTTCTGACTGTACCCAGTGTTGTATAAAGAAAGAAATAAATCTTAAAAAAAAAAAAAAGTGGCATGTTCTATTTAAAAAAAAAAAAAGAAAGAGAAAGAAAGAAAATGAAATGAAGAATGGAGCCTCCACTGGTGGCGCAGGCGGTTGAGCACAGCACTGTGAAGCTGTCCGCAGCCTCTGCAGCGCCAGTTCCATCCCGGCCTGCCAGCGAAGGTCCCATATGGTGCCTCAGACCTTTCCTGTCTCGCCCGCTGCTCCCCTCAGCAGTGTATTTCGTCAGTCTGCCTGTTCTGTTCCCCACTCTGTCTCTGGTAAATCCTCTCACCCTCCTGTACCCCGGTTCTTGTATACATAAATAAATCTTTAAAAATAAAGAAAATGGAGAATGTTGGCAGCAAAGAGCTTCTGCATAGGCACAGGCGGGCAGAACGGCTGCCGCCTAATATAAGACTCTTACTAAAACATTAAATTTGCAGAACTGCATAAGTAAGAATTGGTATTCAACGGATTGTTAGATTTTTAGCTCACACTTTCCTGAGATGAACTCAAAGGAGACTTGAAAATCTCAGAGTAAACAGAAATAATGATACATCCAAATTAGATCTTATATTTATATTGGTGATATCAAAGACAAAAAAATAAGATAAAAGTGTGTTTCTTTTTTACCAGGAGTAGCAAACTGTTTTCTTGAGAAGGGCATTTTTCAAGGGGACTGCCATGTGCAGAAAACATTTCTCAGAATTTGGCTTGTATGAACTTTCCATACTAAAGGAAAAGCAGGGAGTAAAAGACAGGATCTTAGCAAAATATAGATTTTTGTCAAGTATTTTTAGTGGAAATAAGAATCTAGGTAATTCAATACATTTAGCATGGCATGAGTATAAATGCCTTTTGCAAGATGGGCATTGTTGTTCCACTATCCCTGATGGGCAGTTACCTAGTTCCTTTTAAAAATATATATATAGTTCTAAGGTATTGGCTACCTCATAAAGCAGTATGCTTTTCTTTCATTGCAAATATAATGGTGATATTTTATTTTTCAATTAGTCCTGTTATTTTCCCATTGGTAATTTTTTGACCATTGGCCTTAGTCCTCTCATGTGAGTTTAAATTGTGGTTCTAACACACGGCCCCTCACATATTTGATGAGTTGGTATGCTTCTATGTATCATATTTTAACTAAATTTGGCAATAAAAATAATGAAAGAAAATAAGAAACAAAATGAGGATACATGGACTCACATAGTCAAATGCAGGCAAGGCAGAGACAAATGCCACGAGGGATCTTTCTCTGATTTCTGCTTCTCTGTGTTGATGAACTTCATTTTCACATCTTTTCAAATATGCAAAAAGGGCATTGTTGCCTCAGTATTAACTTACCAAAATATGAATTCAATAGAAAACCTAGTCTTCATTTAAATTTTGGTGGATTTTGATGTATATGATTACTTATCCTAGAAGGAGAAATTTACGTTTATCTTTTATCACAATTTAGCCATTGTTAGAGAAGAAAAGTCAAAAGAAACTATCAACAGCTAAAGAGACAAATGTTTAATTCCCTAATTAAAAAAAAAAAATCCAGATGTCAGGGTATGGTGAGATCAATTCATAATAATCAGAATAATGTACTCTGGAATAATTCACCATCACTATGTAAAAAGACAGTCTTTGATCCTATTTCACATCATTTTAAATATGAATTCAAAATGGATCATAGAACTGTATGCCTATAAATAAACTTCGTGGCTGTAAAACTTCTAAAAGAAATAGATAAGAAAGTGTTTTAGCACCTTGGGTTCTTATATATGACACATAAATATAATTCATAAAAAACGTTGTAAAATTGAATTACTCAGATTTAAGAACATCTGTCCTTTGGAAAGCCACTGAAAATGAATGAAATGACAATCCTATAGTGGGAGAAAATATTTGTAAATCATATACATGCTAAAGATGTGTGATTCATAACACATAAAGAACAATCAATATTCCAACATAAGAAAACAAAGCAACACCCCAACTGTTGAATAAATTCCTGGGATGAGGGAGTGATGTCCAGTAGGAAACAATAGGTAATCAGTTAACAGGTTTTTTTTTTTAATATAAACTAAAATATAAACTACACTTATCATATCTTTTGTTCCATTCTTAGATATTTATCTAAGTGAAATGAAAGCTTATAGTCTTTTAAAGACTTGAGCAAGAACATGAATAAAAAGAAACATAAAAAACCATATGATCATATTAATAAGTGCTAAGAAAACATGTGATGTGTGACAACTTTCATTTGTCATAAAAACCCTCACAAAACCTTGAGTACAGGTAATATAATAACAATATATATGAAAGAAAGGTACATATTAATAATTACATATTTAAAATCTAGAAAATGCAAACAAATCTATAGTGATAGAAGTCATATCAGCATCTGCTTGAGGATGGGTGAGTGGGTTAAGGATATTTAAAAGAGTGATTACACATGAAATCTTGTGGGTAATGGTTATATCTATTTATCTTGATTTTGATAGTGATTTCATGGGCAGCTCATATGTCAAAACTTAACAAGTTGTAGAATTTAAGCATGCACAATCTATTATATTCAGTTATCTCTCAAATTTTTTTTTAGAAAAGGCCCCATTATCTGTACTCAGTTTATGCCCA